CTAAAAAGCAATTCAGAATAACCATTTAATATAATGATTACAACTGACATACATGTAACTTTACTTTAAAAAATTTTACCGTTTAAAAGAAAAGTTTTATTTTTCAACTTGCATTTAGGACCAGTAACAATCCATTATATTTGACCTGAGTTTTGTCTTTTTGTCTTAATTCATTTTCCAGTAGGAACATCGTTATACATGTTGGTTGGCTTATAGATTACTGTTTATTTAGCGTTGTACTTCAGATAGGCTTCTAGATGAATTTTTTTGGCCATTGGAATGCAGCTACCTCCTCCTGAGACATGAAGAGGATTATAATTTTTGATTATTGGAGAAAGCTCCCAGACTAGTGAAATCATAATTTGAAATATTGAAGCAAGTTTATTTCAGGTGTATTCTGAGTTAGGCTTTTGTGGACTGGTATAGGAATTTATATTATCTCTGTGGGAAAATACCTTTTTAACTTTTGATCATCCAACTAGTAAATGAATTTAAACTGTTTTTTATTATATTCTTAGTATTCATCAACAAACGCAAATCTTTAAATAAACTAAGAATAAAGGAACAAGTGATTTGAAAATTATTGTAAGTGAAATTGTAAACTTCCTTTACCATAAAATGCCTTTTGGAACAAGCCCCATTCATAAGTTGAAGACAGCCTATAGTGTTCTTTTCCTGTTTCCTATTTAAATAACAGTAAAACTTGGCTAAATAGGAGTTTAGGGTCACTTAAAAATTATTAAAGATTGAAGTTGTAGAAAGTGAAATACTCTGAATGTTTATTTCTATGAGGGACCTATAAGGATCAATTTGGTTTATTTCAGTTACATATAGCATACTTGAGAGAGTGGTTGGGAATAATAAAAAATCATAGAATATTGGAGGATTCTTTAAAAATGTATTTTGAGTAATTTTATTCATATTTCTCTTCAACTCATTAAATAGCTTTGCACTTTAATTTGTTTTCCCTCCTGAAATTCTTCCCCCCAATTCTTCTTGCTTCCTATCCTAACCCACCCCATAGCATTCCACATATATCAGTTAACCGAAAAAAGCTTTACTTTTAAAAGCTTATACAAGAATACTTAGCTCTAAGATGATTTGTCTGTGAGAACAGCTCTGTTACCATAAAGATAACATTTATATATTACATTATGGCTTATGAAATATTGCCCTATCAAGCAATTCCGTGAGGAAATATAAGTATTTTTCTCCCATTTTGCAAATGAATAAAGTCTCAAAAGAGATGTGATCTGTCCAAGGTCACACAGTAAATGTTGGAGCAAGGATTTGATGTTAGGTCTTTTGATTTTTCAAGTCTAGTTCTGCTTTCCATTCTGTTATACTTTGCCTATAATTAGTATTGTAATATTAAATTTTCTTGGTTGAATTCTGTATGTATTAGAAATTCCAAACCAAGCTCAATTGTTACCAGGCTAAATAGCTTAAAAAAAATAACACCCTTGTATAGGGATGTCTGAGCCTGCAGACCAGGCAAATTGGTTTATCATGTTTCTCGAGACCCTTGGGGTGTCCTTTGATTGTTGTTTTAAGGTTCTCTGCTGTGAAGATTGCCTCATTCTATCTCCTGCTGTCACTGTCATTCTTCTTCATAGTTGTGGAGAGTAGAGCAGCCTAACTTGTTCTTGTTCTGCGTGTTACTGAGTCCCTTAACTGTTTCTCCAGATTTTGCATTTTGTGTGCTTTAGAGAGACTAGAATATGAGTAAGTGGGCAACTAGTCAGATAAGTGAAGTTTTTTTTTCTTTTATAAATAATAATTTGACTTCAGGTTTTGATGAAAATTATTTGCTACCAAAGGTTACTGAGATTAAGATATATTCTGTAAACTTTGTCATGGTTGGGGGAATAAATCAGAGCTGTGAAGGATAAGCTGAGGGAAAAAGAAGTAATGTTCTAGAAAGGCATCTAATCTATGCCCTGGAATGGGAATTACATGATAAAAAACTATCTTTGGCTTATGAGTCCCGAGGATGGAGTACCATTGAAGAAGTGGATACCTTTTTTTTGCCTCCATAACCATAATTTTTTAATACCTTTATTATTTCCTAGAATCCAGCCTTCTTTAGTACAAACTTAGCTCTCTAGGTTTGAGATAAGTATGAACTGATACTTTAAGGAATAACCTATCTAGCAAGGAGCTAGTCTCTTAGCAAATTGACCAGAACTTGCCTAAGAGCAGGGAGATCCTGACTCAAGAATAAAAACCCAGTGAATATTTAAAAAAAAAACACAGAAAAAAACTAACAGAAAGTATGTTTTAATAAACAAATTCCTTAATCCTTCAAAAGAGCTGTAATTTCATAGCTGTTTATAGATTGAAACCCCTAAATCAGGAGTTCTTGACCTTTTTTGTGTAATGAACCTCTTTGGCAATATGATGAAAATCTATGGACCCCTCTTCAGAATAATGTTTTTAAAATTCACGCTAGAAGAAAATGCTAAATTTCGTTTATACTCTATTAGTAAAAATAAAGATATGTATATTTTCCCATACAAGTTCATGGACCCCAGATTAAGAACCCCTACTAAAGCAAATCATAAAACTTGCACTCTGTGGGTCCACTTTTGGTAAAGAACTTCTTTGAATTTACTTAGGCTGGTGCTTGGATTACGAGGTCCATGGACAGGGCTGTGTCTAAAACCTTCCCAGCTTATGTTTCATTGGTATAGCCTTTGAGCACCCAGAGTCATTGCCACAATATGATGAGGCTTCAGAGGAGGATGTTATGAAGGAAATTTTATTTAAAGATAACACATACTCCCTCCAATAAAAATCCAGTCTAACACAACACACTCACACACTCTCTCTCTCTCTCTCTCTCTCACTCCAGCCTAACAACTACTGGAAAAAAAAAAACCAAACAAATCTTTTCTCTGTGTTTGGGCAAAGTCTGTCTGCAAAAGGTCCAGTTTTCTCTGTGGGTATTATTTTTGTGCTTTTTAATGGGTTGAGACTTAATCTTTTCCCCCCCACATGTTAATAGCCATTGTTAGTAATATGTTAATATAGTTAGAGTGGCAACATCGTATAGTGGATAAAGAGCTGACATCAAACCCATGACAATTTGTGTCTTTGAGTTGTACTGGCTTTGTAATCCAGGGCAAGTTCATTATCCTCTCAGTGCTTTAGGCAGCTCTCTAAGTTGCAGAGACTGTGCTTACTTGGCACGGTGAAGTAATGAGGACAATTTTCCTCATTAGGGAGCTCCTTGTATCATTGAAATTATAGGTCCAGTCTCTGTTTCTCTGAGTAATATGCTATTGCATATGTCTTTCCATTGCACTTTGGATTACTTACAGTTGTGATTTTTCAGAGATGATAGTGTTCCATGATTCATAGCCCCATTGCATTACTGAGAAAATTAGTGTTAAGCGGGGTGGACTTTGGCAACAGCAGCTTAGGATCATTGAAAATGTACTGCATGGGAAGTAGTTTAAGAGGCATCATAAAGGGTATGTTTGCCTAAGAAAATAAGGTGGGCCAGTCATACAGCAAGACTCACCACCACCACTCTAGTGCAGGCTCTCATTATCTCACACCTGGATTATTTTAGTAACCTGATAGTTGGTCTGCCTGGCTCAAGTCTCTCCCTAATCTAGTCCATTCTCCCATTAGCTGCTAAAGTGATTTTCTTAAAGTTCAGGTCTGATCATGTCTGCTGCTGTCTTCCCCCCCCAACTCAAGTGGGTCCCTAGTACATCAAATACAAAATACAAAATATTCTGATTAGCATTTAAAGCTCTTCATAACCTATTTCTCTGCTACCTTTTCAGTCTTCTTCTACCTTACTCCCCAACACATATTCTTCAATCCAGTGCCACTGACCTCCTGGCTCTTCTACAAACAAGACACTCCATTTCTAGGCTCTGAGCATTTTCTCTGGCTATCTTCCCAAATCTGGAAAGCTTTCCCTCTTCCACTCCAGCTACTGACCCTCTTAGACTTCCTTTAAGTCCCAACTAAAATCCTGTCTTTTACTGGAAGCCCTTCCCAACCCCTCTTAATTCTAGTACACTCTAATTATTTCCTGTTTATCCTGTATCTGTACCTTACCACTGTGCCCAGATGGCTCTGGAGGAAAAAGTGAGGCTGGTGACCTTGCACAGCCCTCTCTCACTTAAATCCAATTCAGTTGCAAGTCATGGCATCACCTTCCTGATGTCAGGGTTCTCTTCAAGAATGAAAGACAAACAACATTTTTCCTGTACTTAGTTTGCTTTGTATATATTTTGTTTGCATGTTGTCCTTCCCATTAGATTGTGAGTTCTTTGAGGGCAGAAACTGTCTTTTGCCTCTTATTGTATCCCCAGAGCTTAGCACTGTACCTGGTATAAAAAGGTGCTTAGTAAATGTTGATTGATTCCTAAAGAGTGAGAGATAACAGATGGACAACCTAAATGTTGTACTAGTGTCTAACATAATAAGTGCCTTCAGTCTGTTGAGTAAATCTTCGGAGAATTTCTAGAATTCAGTCAGTATGAATCACAAGATGAAAGAGGGAGTGAATGGGTTGTACCATACTGAAGGAAGGAGTACTCACGCTGATAGATTTTTTATATTATTATTTAAATTTTTAAATTTTATTTATTTATTTATTTGTTTGTTTAGGCAGTGGGGTTAAGTGACTTGCCTTGGGTCACACAGCTAGTAAGTGTTATGTGTCTGAGGCTGGATTTGAACTCAGGTCCTCCTGAATCCAGGACCGGTTCTCTATCCACTGCGCCACCTAGCTGCCCCCATGCTGATAGATTGATGAGATCATGGACCTTTGAAGCATTACTAGTTGTATAGTGCTGTTAGAATGAAAGATTTTTCAAGTTTGAAATCACCATTTTCTGAAAATGGCAACTTCTTCCTTGCAGGTCAGGGACCTGTTACCCCTTATTGCCGAGTTTGAGTTCCAGAGAAGGCAAGGGAGAGCACTACTCTTTAAAGAGTTTTTTTTAAACTGGATTCTATTTCATGCTTTGCAACAGGAACCTGGGGGAAGAGAATGGATTGCTGAGGACAAGGACAATGCAGCAGTCGGATAGAGCGAAGTGTGCAGCCAAAAGAAGAATTACACGTATGTTTTCATTTGGAAAACAGGAGGCCTTTAGTTAAAGTTAGTTTTGGATGCTACAGTATTGCTGATTTCTCCACTACGAAGACAAAACTAGTTGTGCTGTGTACCACTTCTATTCCTGTAGTGGTTCAGAGATTACCAGATACTTTGCTTACACCAATCCTACGAGGTAGGAATTGTACATTTTGCAGAGGAGACTGAGACTCAGTGAGATTAAGTAACCTCTTCGTAATTGTACAATTCGTAAGAGTTGGAGTTTGAAGTTAAACTCAGGTCTCCTGACTTTGAAGTGTGCCACACTATGGTAGTGACTAAAGTATCATATAATGCCATATTTCACCAAATAATTGTTGCCACTGCATAATTGTTGCACTCTGTTTTTTCAGTCCAAAAATTGGTTTATAGCCTTTTCATCACATAATCATCACATGGTATAATTCCGTTCGTCATACTGCTTAAAAGGTAAACAGAGCAGCAATATATTCACCAGTGGCATGTGGATATGCATTTATCTCTTGCACATTATGAAGACCAAGCCTAGAATTCTCAGCACAGTCTCATTGTCACTATTCAATTTTAAATGTATATTCTTGAGTATACTGTGCATCCTAATCTTTCACCAAAGACAGTTTATTAATAAATGATTTTTAAGTGAGATTGGCACAGTTTAAAAAAGCTTCACATAATGGTCACATTCCACTTTTTTGCAAAAAAATTTGGCATAAAATCTGTGATGATTATGCAGTAAAATAACAGTAGGTTCAGGAATAGCTTACATTGGCTATCAGTAGTACTTCTTTTGTGTCGTTGTGTCTCCCTTCCTGCCCATGGACCCTTAAGGAGTCAGGAGACCTATGCTATGGTTTCATAAAGTATAGTGCTTAAAATTTGACAAAATATTCCACATATGGACTGACCACAGCAGAATACTTTGGGACTGTGCTCTCCCTTGGGGAGAATCTCAGGGATTCTTAACAGGGGTCCATAAACTTGTTTTAAAACTTGTTTAAAAAATATTTTCATACCTCTATTTCAGTGTAATTGGTTTCCTTTGTAATAGTATGTATTTTAATTTATTCATTTTCAAACATTATTTTTAGAAGGGGTGTATAAGCTTTTACTAGATTGTCAAAGGAGTGGAGTCTGTAACAGGAAGTATAAAGACTTTTGTTAATGTAGCCCAAGATTGCTTCAGCATTTGGCTACTTGACAACATTGATATATTTTGAGTTTATACTTCACTAAAACACTCAGGTCACATGAACTGCTGCATCTCATCTAACATCTCTCTTCCTGTACTTGTAAAGTTGATTTTTTTAATCCAAGCACATAATTAATTTATTCTTGTTCAATTTCAACTTGTTAGATTAAACTAGTGTTTGATCTACTAATAATTTTGTCACCAAATAATGAGTATTGAACTACCTTTTTTCAGTTACATTTATAATTTTGTGGCTATTAGTTGACAAATTTTTACTTGTTTATTTTGCCACAAGGAACTTGCTTATTTTATATAAGTGAACATTTCTTTTTTTCTTTTGTGAATTACATTTTATTTTTTTCAATTAACAGAAGTCTTCCTTCCTTTGTTTCTACCAAGAAGGGAAGCTAAGTGGCATAATGGATAGAGCACTAGGCCTAAACTCAGGAAGACCTGAATTCAAAATTGGCTTCCAACACTTAGAAATTTTTCCTTGGACAAATCATTTAACCTTTGTCTCAGCTTTGTCAACTGTAAAATGGGAATAATAATAGCACCTACCTCACAGGATTGTTGCAAGGATCAAATGAAATAATATTTCTAAAGTGCATAGCACATGGCTTGGCACATCATAAGTGCTTAATAAGTGTTTGTTTCCTTCTTCCTATACCTGCATTTCCTCACCTATATTAAAAAAAGGAAAACAAAGCCTTTGTAACAAATATGCATTTAACCAAAACCCAGATTACCTCTTTGGTCCCATACAAAATAATCTCCACCTCAGTATATGCTCAGACTCCATCACCTCTCTGTCAGGAGGTGAGTGGCATATAGCTCTGCAATTGTGGTTGGTTATTGCTTTGATCAGAGTTCTTAAATCTTTCAAAGTATAGTTTAGCATTTCTATCATTATTTTAGAGTTTGCCAAGTACTTTTCTTATTTCAACCCTTCAAGGTAGATAGTGTAAGTGATATTAGCCTCTTTTTACAATAGAAGAAACTGCAGTTCAAGGAAGTTAATGAAATGATTTACCTTCACCACTACAATTAAGTGGCAGTACCAGGACTTGCACCCAGCTCTTCTCTTAACTCTTAAATTTAAGTCTGGTGCACTTTTTAACTTAACACCTTCCTATAGACTAATGTATCTTCATTATCAGTGCAAGTCTTTTTTATTATATCTAATACTGACTATATAGAAAGTCTTTTTAGGCCTTGTTCGTACTTTCTTGTTTATTGCAGATAATATCTTGACCCTGAAAAGCCCATTTTTCAATGTTCTTGTAGGGCTGACACTTTGTGTATCTTGTTTGCCTATGTGAGTTTAATGTTTTCTCATTGACTTTTGGTTGTAGTCAAAGTCGTTTCCAAGTCCATGCCATTACTTATTCATTGAAGCCTATAGGTGAGATGTTTTATTCAGGTAGGATAAAATGGAGCACAAAGTCTAAACACATTTTTCCCAAGTCTTGTTCTAAGTCAGTGCTTTAAAATAAAAATATTTACATAAATAAAAATGATACATCTTGAATAATTACTGTTGGCATTTTTCTGACAGCAAAGATTCAGAAGTGGCTTATTTTCTTTGAGGGGTTTTAATGTCAAAACTAGTTCATTCTTGGATAAGATAGTCTTTTTTTTTTATTATGTTAGATCATTGTTATGCTGCTGTAATACATCATCGCTGAGTCTTAGTCTGTTGTATAGGGCATTTATCTTAGCAGAAGAAAAAAGGCTATTTTTGAAGGAGATAAAAGAAAAAAGATTTAGGTAGAAGAGGGAGTTTGTCTTGTTTAATTGGATAAATCTATGAAATGCAATAGTAGTAATTGGTGTGGTATCGTATAGTGAGTGGTAAGAACAATGGATTTTGAATTAGAAGATCTGGGTTCAAAGATGAATGACCTTGGGCAAATCACTTAACCTTTTAGGGCCTTACCTATTAAATGGATATATACTAATAATCGTATTATTTACCTTATAAGGCTGTGTGAGGGAAGCATTATGTAAACTTCAAAGTGTTCTTTAAATTTGAGCTGGCATTATTATTTAATGAATGGATATTGTCCCTAAGACTTCCTGATATATGAAGCATCTAGTTTTGTGTTCCAGAGTCTTAGTCTGTTTGCCCACGTATCAGTGAGAAACTAACAGAACATCTTGAGTCATCGTTCATAAATTATGACTGGTGTCACCAGCCTCTCTCAAGTTATGTACATACAGCATTTTAGAAAGATGAGACAGCCTGCAGAATTATCAGATACCTTGCAGAGGAGTCAGTTCAGTTGAAGCCTAACCAGTCCCTCTGGTTCCTGAGGGTGAATTCTGTCTGACATTTTTCCCTTAGGGTGCATGCTTCCAGGTGGGATTGCTATAACTACTTCTCTGTACTACCTCATGAGCTCCTGAACATTTGAGAATTAGGGGTAAAATGTGTCTTGATTACCTCCTTTGTTGTGATGGCCTAGAGCCTAATCCTGTATCACTTTTGGTTAAATTGCGTGAAAGATTGGAATGAGTTGCTGAATGTTTTTTCTTTTCTTCCCTAGAGGCTACTTATTGTTAGAATAAACAGTATGGCTTTGTGAATACCTCATATTTGTATTGCTTTGAAACTGCTTTTCAGGCTGTTGATATGATCCTCCTGTAGCCTGGTGAGGTAGTTAGGATAGATTATTACAGATAAGGAAACTGAGACCCAGAGAGGGTGGGTGAGCATAACTGCTTTCCAAGTAGTTCATCTCCCTGCCACGTAGTGTTTGAGAGGGAGTGTGACATAGTAGAAAATAAATACTGTATTTGAAAACTTAAAACCTGGTTTCAAGTGCACATGCTCTGACTTTGGGCAGCAAGCAATCAACATAATTTATTAAGCATCTACTAAGTTACTTCTCAAGGCCTCCATTTCCTTATTTGTAAAATGAGGAAGCTGGACTTGATGACTAGTTCCTTCCAGCTTTAAAACATCCTGTGATTCTAAGTGCCAGAGAGAATAGAATGTGATAACATTATTAGTACATAATAGTATTTTAAGTCTTCATGGGAATAGTTACATTTTTTGGCTATTTATTAATGAGAAGGCAGTATGGAATAGTAGATTGAAAGCCAGCCTCAGCAGGGAATTCCAGGAAGATCTCTTTCTGACCTGTACAGATCTGTTTGATCTGGGAAGAGGCATTAAGCCTCTCAGTAGTCTAAACAAACCCTCTAAGACTGAAAGTAGCAGAGAGCATGTCAACCTGCATTGGTAGAAGAGGTCATTTCATCACCTGGGGTTCTCGATACCAACGAAATCACAGGTCCAATCTTGATCCATTATGAGTAACAAAGGGCTCTGACGTTTCTTTGGGAAGCAAAATGACACTGTGTGGAAACTAGTATTTGTATTCCAAGGAACTTATTATAATAACTTAAATTTCTGTAATATTTTAAGGTTTACAAAGTATTTTCTTCACAACAGTTCTGTGAGTAAGGTAGTTTTGAGTATTATCCCCATTTTACAGATGAGGAAACAGACTTGGAGCTTAAGTGAGTTACTGATGGTCAAGCAGCTAGTGGGTAGCAGAGCTGGAATTTGAAACCCAATATTCTTGACTCTAGTGCCAGTGTTTTTTCTTCTCTGTTCTGCTGCCTTCATGATTTTAAGTAACGACAAGGAGGGCCTGTTGAGGTCAGATTTGGGAGAGCGGTTTGAGTGTGAAGGAATTCACTTAGACATTCTCTGTAGTCATTGGGAGCTTTTATTACATGGGTCTCCTTAGCAAGAAAACTAAATGAGACCTCAACATTTGGGGGAATT